TTTGCTACCCTGGAGTGGTATGTCCCTTCCAGTGAATGTGCCAACCAACATAGAAGTCTGGGGTAGCTGAGGGAGATTTCTCCTGGTACTTGGGGGAAAGCTCCGAGGAGGGAAGAAAATAGAAATTGTCTACGCAGCCCTTACCTGGAACGGCGTTCTTTTAGACGCTGGGTTGGGGGAACCTCTGCTGTGTGGTTTAAGTGGAGGTCTCTGGGATTTTCGTCCTGACTTTTCAATGAAGTTACCTTGGGGAGGAAGAGAGAGGAAGCCAGCTCCTGTAACTGCTGGAACGAACAGCTGGGCCTCCAACTAAGGCATTATTAGCATTTGAAAACCCCTCTGAAGGGGCCCAGAGCTTCCCGGGGTGGGCGCTGGGGCCTGAGTGCTGAGACCCCACAGTGGCTCCAACAGAATGGGGCTGAGTTTCCAGGGCATAAAGACCAGACCGGACTCAAGAATGAACGCATTGTGGCTTTGTCCCAGGCTTGAGAACTGTGACCAAGGCTCTTTCATGGTTAAGAAAGACCGTTTCTTGGCCACAGAAGAGCTCATAAGTCTGGTTCCTTCACAGGCAGAGCTGTGGAAGACCCTGTCCCTTGCTAGAAGGTTCTTTTAGTGTCTTGCTCTGCAAGCATTTCTGATGGAAGTTGTGCTTTCTGCTTCCTGCTTTAACTCAGGAGTACCTTTGGCCAAAGCCAAATCACACATCTCATGATCACACATGCTCAGGGTGGAACATGTTGGTCCTAGAGCAGTACCAACTCCCTCTTCCTGCCTTAGAGTCCTCCTCTCCCAACTGCCTAAATTAACCCCCTTCCCAAGTTACGAAGCCTGCACAAAGTGCTTTTTGGTCATTCTGGTTTAAACAGTTTGGGTTTGCACAGTATTTTTAAAGCATGTTAATTCTGGTTAAAATGTCAAAGGTCGGCCGGGCGCGGTGGCTCAAGCCTGTAATCCCAGCACTTTGGGAGGCCGAGGCGGGTGGATCACGAGGTCAAGAGATCGAGACCATCCTGGTCAACATGGTGAAACCCCGTCTCTACTAAAAGGTGCAAAAAATTAGCTGGGCATGGTGGCACGTGCCTGTAATTCCAGCTACTCAGGAGGCTGAGGCAGGAGAATTGACTGAACCCAGGAGGCGGAGGTTGCGGTGAGCCGAGATCGCGCCATTGCACTCCAGCCTGGGTAACAAGAGTGAAACTCTGTCTCAAAAAAAAAAAAAATGTCAAAGGTCATGGCTCCAAATCTTTCCAGTCTTCCTGTTTCTAGCCTAAATAAATCCCCATCCAGTTTAGGGTATGTTTCCAGACATCAATCAATAGGGATGCAAAACTCCAGGGAACTGGCCTGTTTCTTAAACCAGGAGCAATGGTGCCACCTACTGGGCACTTGCTGGTAGCTACAGGCTCTATGGCCAGTTACGTTTCCTGGTGACTTGGGTGGGAGTATCTGTACTGTATTCCAGTACACGAGTCATAACACACAGTAGTAGAAAGCACACTTAGTAGGCACGCTATTTCCTGCTAACAGGCTTGGATATTGTGTTTGGGAAAACTCCCCAGGGTCACAACTAGTTAGGGACGGAGCCAAATAGAAACAGGGCCCTCCCAACGCCAAAGTTCAGCACTATGCCAGGGTTTGCCAAAACCAGCAGGCGAGTTCAGCTGGTAACTGCACAAGAGTGGTAACTGGTAGCATGAATAGTGAGGCCACTTTTCTCTCTTCAGTTCTCTCTCTTTTTTTTTTTTTTTTTAAAGATGGGGACTTATTATGTTGCCCAGGCTGGTTTCGAACTCCTGGGCTCAAGCAATCCTCTCGTTGGGCCTCCCAAAGTGCTAGAATTACAGGCATGAGCCACCATGCTTGGCCCAGTTCATTTTCTCTCAGTCTTAGTGATTTTGTCTTAGCTCGATATGACTCTTTAAACCTTGAACAGCTCTTTGACTCTGGTTTCTTTCAGTTTTTAAACAATGTTAAATGGGCAACAATATCAGCTAGAAATTAATAACATTTTATTATCATAGTATCCTGAAGTTATCAAATTGTCTTCCACTTAATGGTAAGCAACAGTAATTTTCCATTTATTTTTCTTATTTAGTATAGTGATATGAAGTTACCTTTTCAGAGTAAGTTTGTTTAGGTTTTAAAAAAAGTCAATTTTAGGAGAAAAATACAGGTAAGTAATGGTACAGATGGTACACAGATATGGCAAACATCCTGATGGGTATTGTGGATGACCCCAGAGTCTGGGAAGTGTTGGGCTGTGCCCATCATCACTGACATACTGTGAGACCTTGTGCAATCTCAAGCATCCTTTCCTCATTTGTAGAAAAGAACATGCTGATAGGTGATTGTTAGGTCATGTAGACATATACAGTGCTGTGATGTGTCAACATTATGGATCAGGTTTCTCCCAGGCCAGGCTGCTGAGCTTGGGGTGGTGGGAACAAGGAATTTAGAGGCTTGGCCTTGCTTCCCCTACTTTGTCTCTGCCCCAAGATTCCTTCCTTTTGCCTGCTATATCCTGTTTTTTCATGACAGATTTATTGAGATACGATTCACATACCATGTAACTGACAGTTGTGAAATCATCACCATAAAAAAAGAACCCCCTATTGATCACTCCCTATTCCCTCCAAACATCACAGCCTTGGACAACCACTAATCTCTCTGTTTCCATAGATTTGCCTATTCTGGACATTCCATATAGATGGAATCATGTAACATAAGGTCTTTTATGACTGGCTTTTTCACTTAGCATAATGTCTTTAGGATTCATGTTGTAGTATATATTAGTATTGATTACTTTGTATTGCCAGATAATACTTGTAATTGCTATCATTTTTATTTTAAACATTCTAGTGAGTATGAAGTGGTGGTGTCTCATTGTGGGTTTTTTCTTTTCTTTTGTTTTTTGAGACAGGGTCTCACTCTGTCGCCCAGGCTGGAGTATAATGGTGTGACCAGAGCTCACTGCAGCCTCCAGATCCTGGGCTCAAACAATCCTCCCACCTCAACCTCCTGAGTAGCTGGGACTACAGGTGTAGGCCACCACATCCAGCTAAATTTTTTTGTTGTTTGTATTTTTGGTAGAGATGGGGTTTTGCCATGTTTGCCCAGGCTGGTCTCAAACTCCTGGCCTCAAGCAATCCTCCCACCTTGGAAAGCCACTGGACTGGCCTCGTTGTGGTTTTGATTTGCATTCCCCTGATGGTAGGGCCTTTTTATGTGCTTATTAGCTATTTGTATATCTTTGGGTTTTTTTCCCAACCAAGTCTTGCTCTGTCCACAGGCTGGAGTGCAATGGCACAATCTTGGCTCACTGCAACCTCTGCCTTCTGGGTTCAAGCAATTCTCTTGCCCCAGCCTCCCTAGTAGCTGGGATTACAGGCTCATGCCACCACGCCTGGCCAATTTTTTTGTATTTTTAGTAGAGATGGGGTTTCACCATGTTGCCCAGGCTGGTCTTGAACTCCTGACCTCAGGTGATCTGCCCGCCTTGGCCTCCCAAAGTGTTGGGATTACAGGCATGAGCCACCACACCTGGCCTTTTATTTCTTGCCTAATTGTCCCAGCTTGCAACTCTAATACAGTGTTGAATAGAAATGGTGAGAGTAGGCATCTCTGTCATGTTCCTGATCTTAGAGGAACTGAATTAGTTCAGTCACTCACTATCAATCAAGTATGATGTTAGCTGTGGGGTTTTTTTGTTAATGCCCTTTATCAAGATGAGCAAATTACATCTATTCCAAGTCTGAGTATTTTTATCATGAAAAGGATCTTGTCAAATGCTTTTTCTGTGTCTACTGACATAATCATGTAGTGGTTTTTTTTATAACCTCTATTCTGTTGATATATTACATTGATTTCCTTATGTATAACTAACCTTGCATTTCTGGGATAAATTCTACTTGGTCATTGTGTATAACCCTTTCTAAATGTTGCTGGGTTCTGTTTACTGTTATTTTGTTGAGGATTTTGTTTTTATATGCATAAAGTATATTGGTCTATAGTTTTTTTTCTCCCTTGTCTTACCTTTGCTTTTGATATCAGAGTAGTATTGTTTTCATACAATGAATTAGAAAGTATTTCTTCTTTTATTTTTTGGAAGAGTTTGCAAAAAGTTGATATTAATTCTTCTCTAAATGTTTAGCAGAATTTACCAGTAGTCATCTGGTGGTCCTGGACTGTGAGTATGTGTGTATGTTGCTAGGGGGGTTAATTACTTATTCAGTCCTTTCACCTGTTGCATTGTTTCTTGCTTGTAGAACATGTAGGCTACTTGTAGAAACACACTTACATAAAAGGAGAGGGATTCTGGGAAGAGTGGGCTTAGCAGGAATTTGGAAATTTAGGAGTTTCCAGTTGGCTCTACCTGGAGCTGTGCCTTCTCCCCTCCCCTGTATTATCACATCTCAGAGGAAGTAATCTTCCGTCTCTTGCCTGAATGAACACCATTGAGGTTAGAATCAATAACCTGAGCTGTATCTTGGATGGAAAAGATTGTGTGTGTGTGTGTGTGTGTGTGTGTGTGTGTGTGTGTGTGTGTGTTCTGCCTTACCTTAAATATTGAAAAAAGTGAAGGTACCTCAACTGTTGAGATTCCCAGATCATGAATGACGGACCACAGTGAACTCTGGAATAGCCATTTAAAGAATGACAAGCCTGTAACCTGTAATCCCAGCACTTTGGGAGGCCGAGGCAGGTGGATCACGAGGTCGAGAGATCGAGACCAACCTGGTCAACATGGTGAAACCCCGTCTCTACTAAAAATATAAAAAATTAGCTTGGCATGGTGGTGTGTGCCTGTAATCCCAGCTACTCAGGAGGCGGAGGCAGGAGAATTGCCTGAACCCAGGAGGCGGAGGTTGCGGTGAGCCGAGATCGCGCCATTGAACTCCAGCCTGGGTAACAAGAGCAAAAAACTCCGTCTCAAAAAAAAAAAAAAAAAAAAAAAAAAGAATGAGACAGCTCTCTATGTGCTGGTAAGAAGTGAGCTCATGCTCACTTCAGCAGCACATATACTAAAATTGGAACAATACAAAGATTAGCATGGCCCTTGCGCAAGGATGACATGCAAATTCGTGAAGCATTCCGTATTTTTTTTAAAAAAGAAGTGATCTCTAAGATATGTAATTAAGTGAAATCTGCATAATAGTGTGCTTCCATTTGTGTAAGGACAAAACATGGATGGCAGCCTGTGGACACATAGGCTGGTAATGCAGAGCACCTTGGCACCCACAATGAGAGTCAGAGCTGGTGGGAGACGTAATACCCCGTGGGGTTGTTTTCCCTTGCAGTTATGTGGTCTTAAACAAAATGCTTTCTAAAGTAATGGGCATGTGTGACATGCAGTGGTGTGCCTGTGAGTAGGCTGTGCCCTCATGCCAATAGCTACCCCTTGGCAGAATCTGAACATCTCAGAGACGTGGCCTGAGGACCCTCGTGAGTTGTCTTGGCCACGGTGTGGGAGGCACTATCTAGACTTTCATTTACCTGAAGTTTAGTGTTCCTCAGGAATTCCTTCGTCTACCTGTGGGAAACTGGTGACAGACCTCAAAGGCCCTCCAAGGTTGGATGTTTCCTTCTGAGCGCGGTTTCAGCAACACAGAAATCCTGGTCTGTTTCTCCAAGGCAAAGGGCTTTCATTACCCTGTTGCCTCCCTGTGGACTTCTGGCCAGGTGTCCCCACAGTAAAGCACTTTATTCTTACTTGGCAGATCCAACCATGGCTCCTACCTCCCACCATGAGTCAGGGTGTTCGGGAAGTGAAGCAGATGCCAGAAGTCTTTTGGGCTTCCCAGGCCAAGAGAGCTTCCACACTAATAGCCAGTCCTTTTCCATTTAAGGTTGACAGAATTGGCAAGCAGGAACAATTTGGGTTTTTGGAAATATCCACAAACTCTTCGCTTCCATCCACCCGGAGTGAATGCTTCTCTTCCTTCACAGGGGCTACCCTAAGAGGCTGGGAAGCCTCCCAGCTTGGGCTAGTGAGATCCCAGGCCACATTCTAGGCCTGGATCTGGGACCTCCAACACTGAGGATCCTTGTGTCTCTCCCACAGAGAACACCTTCTGCAGTGGGGACCATGTGTCCTGGCACAGCCCTTTGGATAACAGTGAGTCGAGAATTCAGCACATGCTGCTGACAGAGGACCCACAGATGCAGCCCGTGCAGACACCCTTTGGGGTAGTTACCTTCCTCCAGGTAAGGCACAGGTTAGACGTTGACTCAAGCCTTCCTGTGGGAAAGGTCCTGGCAGGACAGGGATGCTTGAAGAGGGGGAGTGAAGGGAGGGGCAGTTTCTTTTGGCCTCCTCCTGATTTCTGTTTCCTCTGATGGTTTATCAGGTAGATTTAGATGGTCCAATTTAACCTGCTGAGATGGGAGAAGTGGGGAGGGGAGGAAGCCATTTGGGTGGAAGAGAATGGCTGTAGCTGAGGGAGTAACAGGGGTGGGAGGTATTCTGTGAACAGTGAAGACCCAGTCTCGGGAACAGGACTTTACAGCAGGAAGCCAGCTCTAGGTCGTACTTGCTGTCTCTCAGAAGCTGTGGGAACCTGCCCAGCTTTGACCAGTGCTTATTTTTGGTCACAACAAAGTCTATGTGAAAGTTCCACTGGTTCCCTTGATATTTACACCAAGGCCTAGCCCCTAAGAAGGAAGGGAGGAGTTTCTCTGCAAGTGCTGGAACCTATTGGTCACGGTTCCAAGACTGATAGGTCTCAAAGTCTCTTGTTTACATTCCCATGACACCGGAATGGGTAGGAACAGCTCCCTGAACCTCCCCTACTTCCAGAAACATGGCCTGAGGATCCATCTTGAGTTGCTCAGGCCTTGGTTTTCTCTGCAGCCAAGAGCTAGACTTGGTGTCACCCAGACACAGCAAGGGCAAGGGTCAGGCCTCAGGGCCTGCCTGTGGACCCATCTATTTCCCAGCCAGGGAGCCACGCCCTCCTGAGGGAACCATCCCATCTTGGATGCACCAGCTCCTGAGCACAGATCCTGTGTGTGGTCTCCCAACTAGAGGTGACTCAGAGAACCTGGGTAGCTGACCTTCTTGGGATGGTGGCCAGCCATTAACACACAGTGGCCTTCTGTCCTGGGCCTTAGATCGTTGGTGTCTGCACTGAGGAGCTACACTCAGCCCAGCAGTGGAACGGGCAGGGCATCCTGGAGCTGCTGCGGACAGTACCTGTGTGAGTACTCATGCAAGGTGGGAGCCTTGCTTCCTGGGCCTGGGGGTGGGAGTCCCTCTGTCACCCTCCATGTGGGGCTCCCTTTTGCGTTATTATTTCAAGCCCTGGTTTTTCATATCAGGGCTTTCTGACGACTCACTCCCTGACAGTCCCTTACCACAAACTATTCCCCTGTGTCCTGGGCCTAGGGCAGCAAACAGGTCAGGCTGTAGGCCCAGCCCATCAACCCCAGACCCTCAGTTACCATCGTGTTCCCTTTCCTTGTCCACAGCGCTGGAGGCCCCTGGCTGATAACTGACATGCGGAGGGGAGAGACCATATTTGAGATCGATCCACACCTGCAAGTATGTCTTGAGTGAGGAAAACCTTTCTAGCACCCTGTGCCTAGGCCTCTTCCAAATAACACTGGCTTTCATCCTGGGAAAACGGAGGAGCTTTATGTGTGAGTGAGTAGAAATATGGCATCATTTGGAACTTGTCCTCTGAATTCTGTAGAGCACATAGGAAGCAGAAATTTCAGCCTAGGAAAGCTAGTCCTCAGACATATATGTATTTTTGCACTTTAAAAGGGTGATTTTATTGTATGTAAAATATATATTGGCTTGAAAAATTAGATTACCAGCAATAAAAGATAAATATAGTGGATATTGCTTGCTTGCAGTATTCATTCACCTGCCTCCTAGACTCTCAGGGAGCCACCATGGCCACTACCACTCTGTACCAGACAGTAGTATAGGTGATACTGACTCCATGGCCCACCTGCAGGAGTGAGCACTGATTGGTTAACGATCTCATCCCTCTTTTCGCCGCATTTTCTGTCTTGGGACAGTCAGATGCAGAGCTCCTACACTGGAAAGGTTGGAACCCTAGACATACAGTCTGGCAGCTGCCCATTCCCTGTGGCCTACCTAGACAGTGTTTTAGTGTCATCTTTACTGTTTTAGAAGCATTCCTTTAGCATGCAGGTGAATTTTGAAAGCCACAAAAATGTAACTACCTTTTTCTTTTTTCTTTTTTTTGAGACGGAGTTTTGCTCTTGTTACCCAGGCTGGAGTGCAATGGCGCGATCTTGGCTCACCGCAACCTCTGCCTCCTGGGTTCAGGCAATTCTCCTGCCTCAGCCTCCTAAGTAGCTGGGATTACAGGCACACGCCACCACGCCCAGCTAGTTTTTTGTATTTTTAGTAGAGACGGGGTTTCACCATGTTGACCAGGATGGTCTCGATCTCTCGACCTCGTGATCCACCCGCCTCGGCCTCCCAAAGTGCTGGGATTACAGGCTTGCGCCACCGCGCCCGGCCTCTTTTTCTTTTCTTTTCTATTTTCTTTCTTCTTTTTTTTTTTTTTTTTTTTTGAGATGGAGTTTCGCTCTTGTTGCCCAGACTAGAGTGCAGTGGCACGATCTCGGCTCACTGCAACCTCTGCCTTCTGGGTTCAAGCAATTCTCCTGCCTCAGCCTCCCGAGTAGCTGGGATTACAAGTGCCTGCCACCATGCCCAACTAGTTTTTGTATTTTTAGTAGAAACGGAGTTTCACCATGTTGACCAGGCTGGTCTTGAACTCCTAACCTCAGATGATCCACCTGCCTCGGCCCCCTAAAGTGCTGGGATTGCTGGTATGAGCCACCGTGCCTGGCCCATTAACTGCCTTTTTTATGGGCTTCTCTTGAAGCAGGAGCCACAGACAGCTAATGATGTGCCTGCCACGTGTCTGGCCCGATCGACTCCCCTGACCAAATGCGGGTCATTGCCATCTCTAAACCTTTCATTTTTCTGTTGAAAAATCTGGTAGGCCACAGGCAGCTGCCAGGAGTTCCGTATGTTAGAGCAAGAGAGAGGTGGCAGATGGACATGTAACCAGCAGCCCCTGAGTTCTTCACTGTAGACTTGTGAGTTCTTGGGCATAAATCTTCTTCATTCACAGATGATGCTCCTCTGTTTTCCTAGTGCCTTTAACACTGAACATTTCAAACTGCTGCCAGGATCCTCTGTTCTCTCTACTTTAAACTTGGTTTCCTTGTGTCTTCTGCATATTCAAGAACCAGGAACGCTATGTTTCCCTAGGTCCTTGTCCTGTAGCCGCACTGGGATCCATCGTGGGGCACTGTGAGCCATTGTTCGGTCTGTCATAAGTGCCAAGTACTAAAAAAGAACCTGGTTCTTGCACTGGTAGGGTAAGCATCCATCCTTCCATGCCAAGAGCTGTTCTCCTTCCTAGTCGGCAGACTCCCTTGAGAGTAGCTGGCAGGACCTGGAGCACCTAGCGGTCTTTAAAAGCAAGCCGGGATCCCACAGGGAGAAAGGACAGCTTTCTTTCCTGGCGGTGCTGTGCACCAAGTGTAAACTCCTCTGTGTTCACTGTGCCTTTCTGGGGTCTGCTTGCTATCAGTCCACTTAGAGCTGGCATATGTTCCTGTGATCCGAGCCCCGCACTAACAAGCTGTGTGCCCAAACAAGTCCCTCACCTTTCTGAGTCTTAGCTTTTTCTTTTTACTTATAAAGTAAATGGGCTGGACACATTGAGCCAAGAATTGTCTATCTGCAACTCGACCTGAGTGAGGGACCCCAGGGCAGCCAGTGGAGAGGGAAGAAGCTCAGATTATCCCCTGAGCACATTAGGGTATACACGCTTCGCCCAGAGTACACAGAGCGTTTCCCTGCTTAGCCTCTTCCTGCGTGGAACCTCCAGCTTTGCCCAGGCCAGTGTTAGCACTTGGAAGGAGGAGATAACTGATGGGAAGGAGGCGTCTAGGGCAGAGTCACTTGCTGAGTGGTCCCAGAAAATAAGGACAGTATCTGTGCTTCCCCCAGATGGGCTCCCAGGCTGTCCAGCAGGCCAGTGTGGTACCCATGGAGCCGGGAAGCACAGATTCTTGTTGAGGTGCTCAGTCACAGGCTTTATTTGGTCCACATGGGCATAGAGCCTTCCAGATGACTTTTAATTCAAGGCCCAGCATCACAGAACTGATTGACCAGAAAATCCAGAAATGTTTTGAGTACAACTCTTCTCTGAGGCCATTTGGAGAGTGTTTGGACTCAGCAATACCAAGGCCTGTACAAAGGCAGGGTCTCGGTATGGAAAGGGCATCTGCAGATAGTCACTGCACGCCAGGCCACCATTTCAGTCTAAGAAATAGGAAGCAATCTCCATCCAGAGTCCTTTGCCAAACAAGGGAACCAATGCAGCTGGGGGAAGTTCAGCCTTCTGCTCTCCGGTGGCTCTTCCTTGTGTGACCACACCCTCTAGCTGTTAAAAGGAGAAACTGCAGGTGCGCCCTCTTGGCTGTGGCAGGCTTCCACCCTGTCTTCTACAGTAGTGACTGGGAGGTTCTAGCTGGAAGAGTGGGAGGAAAGGAAGGATCATACCTCTCCTCAGAGGAGCAGGTTCTCTCATGGCCACATCAGCTTGACCAGTCAGTCCGGCGGGGACAGGTTTGGGCTCTGAAACAGGTAGAGACCATTGTACTGGAAGGTTGGTAGTAGAGGAGATGCTTCGCTTGGGATTTGGATTCCTCCTGGCTTCCTCTAATCCCTGGTGCCCCTGGAGGAGTTCAAGAGCTGGCAGAGACTATCACGCATTGGTAACCAGGGCAGAACAAGGTCAGAGACCCTGCTCTTCCAGCATCTGTCCTGTGCTCAGCACCATAAGGGCTCAGTAAATACTGAGTGGTGGCTGAAAGGATGGTGACCTTGGGCCACCAGTTCTCTGAAAGAACTCTGGCTCTTTGGCTCTTTTCAAGCAGGAGAGAGTTGACAAAGGCATTGAGACAGACGGCTCCAACCTGAGTGGTGTCAGTGCCAAATGTGCCTGGGACGACCTGAGCCGCCCCCCCGAGGATGACGAGGACAGCCGGAGCATCTGCATCGGCACACAGCCCCGGCGGCTCTCTGGCAAAGGTGGGAGCCATCACCCAGCCTTCTCCTAGCCTTTCTCCTTCCTTTTCCCCAGGCCTGGTTTCCAGGCTCTCTAGGATGGGTCTCTAACAAAAACAACCCATTCAATGGTTTATTTCCTGGCATGATTTAAACAGCAAGTGAAGTCTTCCAGCAGGGTGGAATTAAGGGAGCTTTATTGGCCCATTTCTAGCTGTGTTTCCTGTGTGTATTTCAAATGCATCACCAGCAGGCACCATTGTGTTTTAGATTTGCCCCTTGCAATCTGAGGTCATGGAGGTGAGTGGAAGCCTTAGAACAGTTACAGGAAAAGTCCATAGTCCACCCAAGTGCAAGAGAACAAGTGTCGGCCACCCACGGAATTGACACAGGGCCCAGCTCTGGCCTGAAGGACATGCCAGATTCAAGGCTCACTCTGGCCTCGAGCCCTCCCAGGCCTTCGACAAGAGAGGTCTGAGTATGAGGCCAGCTTGTAAATTGCCCCACCTCCTGTCATACAGGTACAGGGTTAGGCGCTGTGGGCAGGGCCTCTGCACTGCGTTCCGGATGGGGTCTTGGGGAAGGAGGATGTGGCTGTCCTGTTGGAATCTCCCTATGCTGACCTTGGCTACAGAAACAGTTGTGGTTTTTAGCAGAGGGCGTCCCCAACTAACTGCATAGGAAAAGCAGCCACTTACATATACACGTGTTGACAGCTTCTTTGTCTACTTCCTTTCTTCATTCTTCCATCTTTTATTTTTTGAAGAATGTCTACAGCCCTGAATAAAATACACCTACGATAACTTATAAAAGGTTTTTGTTCATTCTGTAAAGGACAAACTTAAACCCCTAGTGCAAATATTTGAGCCCCTTTCTTTTTTTTTTTTTTTTTTTTTTCCTTTTTTCTTTGAGACGGGTCTCTGTTGCTCAGGCTGCAGTACAGTGGCTTGATCTTGGCTCACTGCAACCTCCGCTTCGCAGGCTGAAGCCATTCTCCAGCCTCAGTGTCCCAAGTAGCTGGGACTACAGATGTACGCCACCGACGCCCGGTTAATGTTTGTATTTTTTGTAGAGTCGGCGTTTTGCCAAGTTGCCCAGGCTGGTCTTAAACTCCTGAGCTCAAAACAATCCACCCGCCTTAGCCTCCCAAAGTGCTAGGATTACAGATGTGAGCCACCACACCCGACCAAGCCCTTTCTTTCCTTCCCGTTTGTTCTAATGGTATGCCAAGCCTGTTGGAGGCTCAAAGAGAGGGTATGCAGTTATTAGAATCATTTGGTTGCTTTTGATCAAAGAGGTGATTTAAAGAGGCAGTCATAGTCTTGTCTAAAATTTCAATCATTATTGGCTGTTTTTAAAAAATTATAGAAGTAATCCATCTCACTGTAACAAGTTAAATACTTAGAAAAGTTAGTAATCATCTCCTTCCCAGTCTGAGGTCACTCTTTGAGAAACTAATTTTAATTTGCTTTTTTGTATGTGTTTACAATTTGCAGAGATAAATCTTAGATCCAAATCTCAGTATAGGGGACCAGACTAGTAAGCTTCACCCCAAAGACCAGCAAAGCACCTTGCAAAGAAATCATCCCACCAAGGGAACCCTTTCACCTCCTGGCCCTTCCCTCTCCATGGAGAGGCAGAGGTTCCTGGGTTAAGCCAAGGTGAGAGATGATCTCAGCATCTCACTGACTTGAGTACAAGGGGAAGGGGTGGCAGGGTCAGATGCTAGTTGACCACCCAGAACCCAGAGAGGTGTGTGAGAGGCAGCTGCCCACTCATGGCAGGGTGCTTGCAGCCTTAACATGCATCCATTCTCCACACAGAGACTGACCACTAGGAATTGACCATGTTAAGGGTAAACCTTGGGCCTGTGATACAGGAAGGAGAAGGGTGGGAGAGACCACCCTTCTGAACTCTAGAGGCTACCTCTGGCTTCTACAAGAATGGCACTCTTCCGGCCGGGCGCAGTGGCTCAAGCCTGTAATCCCAGCACTTTGGGAGGCCGAGGCAGGTGGATCACAAGGTCGAGAGATCGAGACCAACCCGGTCAACATGGTGAAACCCCGTCTCTACTAAAAATACAAAAAATTAGCTGGGCATGGTGGCGCATGCCTGTAATCCCAGCTACTCAGGAGGCTGAGGCAGGAGAATTGCCTGAACCCAGGAGGTGGAGGTTGCGGTGAGCCGAGATCGCACCATTGCACTCCAGCCTGGGTAACAAGAGCGAAACTCTGTCTCAAAGAAAAAAAAAAATGGCACTCTTCCAACCCAGAGCTTCTTAAGAACACGATTGTCCCCTCACAGTCTGTACTCACTCAGCACTCACATCTGGATGCCTAGAGAGTACCAGAGTGGTAGTTTTTCTTAGCACCTCTGCTAAGCCAGGTTTCAAGAGCAGGATGGGAGTTGCTGGGAGCCCACTGGGCCACTGGACAACTTAGTGGTGTTGTTGCAGACACAGAGCAGATCCGGGAGACCTTGAGGAGAGGACTCGAGATCAACAGCAAACCTGTCCTTCCACCAATCAACCCTCAGCGGCAGAACGGCCTCGCCCACGACCGGGCCCCGTAAGTTCCCCAGTGTCCCAGGGCTGGAACAAGAGGACAGTTTTGTTCTGAAGGGCCTGTCCCTGTAGATTGCATGAGAGAGAACAATGTACATAGCCCTTGCTGGATGGGCCCAGAGTCTCTAGGCTTAAGAGCAGGCATGGTCTGGGGCACACAGATCTATCTGCGGGTAATAAGTGAGGGCCTCAGAGGGGACCCAGCAGACCATGAATATAAACATCAGTAAATATTTACATGAGCCGTGTGAACAGACGGGAGGCCAGGTTGAGGTGAAATCTGACTTGGGGCCTCCCAGTCTTGTGGGAGCCCATTGTGCTGAGCACGGTTCCCTCCTTATCTCAGTCTCGGCTAGAGTTGCCCTTCCTTCCTTCCTGGAGCCTGGTCTCCGGCTGATAGCTACAACCCTGGGGGCCTCCCTCTCTGGCCAGCCCCATACTGGTTGCCTGCCTTTGAGGCCCTTCTTCCTGCCTCTCTTCCCTGGGGCCCAGGGAAGGGAAAGGAAGTCCTTTGCAGGACTCTGCTGCCTGTCCAGGGGCTCCTGTAGCCCTTAGGAGAGACTGTGGTCACCCCAGAGGTCAGATCCGCTTCCTGCCAGCCTCTCTTCCTCTGATAGAGGGGATGAGTGATGGACAGGGCTGGACCTGGGCACCCCCTTCTGCCATTAGTCCCAGGGCAGCTCTAGGGAATAGCTGCTGGCAGGAGATACCTGGGCGCTGGCAGCCCAAAGCAGGAACCTTGCCTGCCAGGGAGGAAATTGCTGTGCCTTGGGCTGAAAGCAGGGTGGCTTTCGGGGGGTCAGGGGGAGGGAGGGGGCGGGGTCAATCATCCTGCAAGACCAGGGTGATCTAGCCTTCTTCTAAGAAGTCTTTATTCCATACTTGCTGTCTGACAAGCTCAGGACCCAGGGGGCCATCTGGGGTGTGCAGGCTCTTCCTTTTAATGGCATGTGTCTGGCTGTGGATGTGATTTGTTGGAAATGGCTGCTTCTCTGGATTCTAGCTCCAGTTACTGATTGTGGTTCCCAGAAATAGTAACGCTTCATTGTGTTACAGAAAAGACAGGTCCACAGGATCTAAGGTAGTTAGGGAGGGCATCTTGGAGGAGGAAGAACATGGCATGGACCTTGAAGGCGCCTTAGAATTTTAATAAGCAGGGAAAGGAACTCAAGAGGATAGCACAGGGGAGGCTTGGCTGGTTAAAGTTGAGGCTGCCTCCTGGGACCTGACTGGAATAGAGTTACTCTGGGAACAGGGCTGTCCTGAGAGTTGAGCTCTTTGGCAAGAGCCTGGAGAAGGCTTCACCGCCACCACAGCTTTTAGCTCCGGCCTGTGGGTTTCTCCAGCCAGCTGACCTGAAGTAGCTGGCTTGAGGCATCCTGATTGTCCCCTGGCAGCAGCAGATGGCCACACTGGGTCATAGGACATATGGAAGTTCTCTACCTGTGAGTCTGGACCCTTCCCAGGGCTATACTCCTTCCCATTCCCTAAGCTTGGCTTCTCGCTTTGAACCTTGTTGGCACTGTTGGGAAGCCAGAGGTACTGCAAGGCCTATAACTTGGAGACAGTCTCAGTCCACATGGCTCTCTCCCCCTAGAAGCCTGGGGTTTCTAGGCAGAAGGGCACAGGCTCCTGCAGAGATACACCCTTCTTGTCCCTCTTGTGTATCTGGGACAGGTCTGAGATCTCACTCACTGGTGTGGGGGCACTTCCAGCTACTGCACCCCCAGACATTGCAAGGGGGCACCCGGCTCTGGGCTCCTAGACATACACATAAGCCCAGACTCAGCCCACACCCTTACTGGGCTGTAGGGTGTTGGTTCTGGTCCAAAGGCTCTTTAGACATAAGGCGAAGAGGCTGCAGCTTCTGCCCTTTGGCTTGAGTTGGCTGAGATACAGAGAGAGGGGTAGGAATAGATTTGAGGTGCCAGGAGTTGTCTCCCCTTCCTGAAGGTTTAATGCCCAGTCAGGACTGTAAAGTGCCAGGATCTGCAGTCCAAGGGGTTTAGAATGTTTCCTCTGAGGCTCTTAGTGCTGGTTACCAATTTGTCAGCAATTGGTTGAGAAATGGTTTCTCGTCCTCCTTTGCCAAGAACATTTTCCAACACACCCCTCGAGCCTGTCAGACTCAAGCTTCCTGTTAACTCAGGATCGATGATGATGGACTCAGTTCAGATCAGTGAGCTCGATGGTAATATCTGTGCTGCCCACTGTGGGACCTGACCCCGTTTCAGATACACCACATGGATTGCAACTGAGAAAGCTGACCCAAAATGTGCTGGCACCAGTGTTTGCTCCTCTCCCTGTGGGGGTGCAGCTAGCATGGGCCTTATTTTGTCTGCACATCTCATTTCCCCTTAGTCAGGACTTCTGGGCCAGGGAGCTCTGATGCATAGGTCTTTGCAGGTTTGTCTGTGGTCTGAGGAAGACAGAGCTAGATCAGAGGCTCCGAGCAGCTGATGAAGCCTGGGCATTAGCAGCCGGGTGCTGGCCTACTTGGGGGCGTCAAACACTTGCTCTTTTCACACCTCAGCAGCAGCTAACACTTTATTAGTACTTGTTCTGTGCTAGGTAATGTGCCAGCTACTATCTACCGCCATTCATTTAACTCATCCTCATAGCCACCCTGTGGCCGGTAATCTTACATATCCCCCTTTTTAATGGATGAGGTACAGAGAGGCTAATAAGTATCTTGTCCACAGTTAGAAAGGGACAGAGCTTACAGCCATCTATCAGCCATTAAAACGGGTGTAATCTTTCTTACCCCATTCTCAGAGACCCCATGTGGGACACATCAAACTATATCTCTGAGAAAATAATGACCCTTACTGGTGGAATTCATCTAACTAGTTGCAGCATGAATCGGGACCTCTCACATGGCACCGAGGACAAGGCCAAAGCCTCATATTAGAAGCATATTAGGCGCCGGGCGCGGTGGCTCAAGCCTGTAATCCCAGCACTCTGGGAGGCTGAGGCGGGTGGATCACAAGGTCAAGAGATCGAGACCATCCTGGTCAACATGGTGAAACCCCGTCTGTACTAAAAATACAGAAAATTAGCTGGGCGTGGTGGCGCGTGCCTGTAATCCCAGCTGCTCAGGAGGCTGAGACAGGAGAATTGCCTGAACCCAAGAGACAGAGGTTGCAGTGAGCCGAGATCGCGCCATTGCACTCCAGCCTGGGTACAAGAGTGAAACTCCGTCTCAAAAAAAAAAAAAAAAAAAAAAAAAAGCATATTAGGCTTATTTAACTCTAGGGGAGTTAAATAACTCCTAGGAGATGCCATGAGCCTTGGTGATTCCAAATCCCAGAAATAACAAGCTATGTCATAATTGGCTCATTTATACCAAGATTATTTTGTGACACAAGGCCTTATTTCCTTCATGTGCAGAAACAAAAACAACCCTATCTTTAGCCTCTCTACCACCTCAGGGCTATGGGATTTCTTTCCATTTTGAGGGTCTATTTCTTCCTTTCCAAAAAGGCAGGCTTCCTGGGTAACCTGCTCCTCTCCCGCTCTTTGTTGCCAGCCCTCCTCCCACTGCCTTCCCAGAAGGAGAGTCCTTGGCCCTCTTTGGGGCTTCTTCAGCATTTCACAACCCTTGCATTCCAGCCATGAAATCTGTATCTAGCTTTTCCCAAGATGAGATCAGTTGAGAAAAGCCTCCTTCGGCTTGCTGGCGCCTCCCTTCCCACTGCCTGCTTGGGTGAGTTTGGGAAAGATCAGAAGCAGCTCCTTTGTGCTGAACAAGGATAGCCTGGTTTAAAGACTGCCTGCCAACGTCTATAGGGATTTGAGGAGGGAAAAGTTCCTGGGCATCCTCTGTGTCTGAGATCACCTGGTCAGACGTGGACTCCGGAGTTTGGTCTCTGAACAGTGCACAGAAGATATGTGTGGTCAGGCGAATTGTGTGGAGAGGTTTGCTTTTCTTTCTTTCTTTTCTTTTCTTTCCGTTAAAAAAAAAAAAGACACAGGGTCTCCTTCTGTCACCTAGGCTGGAATGTGGTAGCAAGATCATAGCTCACTGCAGCCTCAAACTCCTGGCCTCAAGTGATCATCCCACCTTGGCCTCCCAAAATGCTGGGACCATAGGCATGAGCCACCACACCTGGCCTGTATTTCTCTAAACTGTTGCTTAGATGCTGGAAACCCACATCAGTATTCTAGGACCACCTCCTCCCTCAGCCAGTGACTTACCATCTGAGGCTGTAGACCCTTAGGAAGCTCTCTGAGTTGTGTGCCCTCCCAGAGAGGGACAGGACACTGCACACTTGTGTTGGAGGGGAAAAGTTCCTGACTGTGGGAGAAGTACTTTGTAGTTGAGGCACCTCTAAAAAGTGAACTCACCATCACTGCCGAGTTTCTGAGTCTTTTGGAATCACACCAGCAGCTTTTAAGACCTTTTTTAAAAAACGTTTTTTGCCTTAATTTCCTGGAGAATTAAGATTCTGTACCATGAATTCCTCTGCTGTAACATTCTCATTTGCAACACCTCCCCAGCACACATGCACATACATATACATACATTTCTCTCTACTCTTACGATTGTCTCTGCTCCTATCTGTTTGGCCTTTGATTGGGGTGACTTTGCTGCTAATTCCCATCTTCAGTAGCTTGTAACCTGGCCAGGGAGTCATCCTTCAGAGAAAATGTGTTTTGTTTTGCTCAGCCTATGAGGTCCATGAAGATTAATTAGAAGAAGAAAGTATCTTGTTTGCATCCAACCTACTAGTGAATTTGGGGTGAAGGAAGGTGAGTTTCCACCTGGGGAAACAGCTGGGCTGTGGCTGGTGGCGCTCACATGAAGGGCAGTGTTGGGTAACGCTGTTCCAAGGGGTCTCTTGTGTCAGTGCAGCGGCCAGCCTGGAGCCCTCTCTGTCACGTTGGCTTTCCTCACACTCTCGCGATGGGGAAGTACAGTTGTTTGCACTGGAAAAAGAAAAAAGCTCAGAAAGAAACAGCCCTGCTCTTAGGGCCCCAGCCAAACTCTGCAGGCTGATGAGA